TCACACACTTACTCACACACACACACACACACACCCACTCACTCACTCACGTACATACATAAGTAAACGTAACTAACCACTCATACATACATATTTACACGTAAATGCAAACTTATTAATACATATCATAAATACATACTCATTTTTACRCATACACACAAATACATACACATACACACATACAAACACAAATATATACATGCACACACACACATACACACACACATACACACACATACACACACACATACACACACATACACACACACACATACACACACACATACACACACATACAAATACACACACATACAAATACATACAAATACTTGTTTTTGTCATATTATAAACAATATATTTATTCCATACATACAAATACACACACATACAAATACATACAAATACAAATACATACAAATACACATACATACAAATATACATACATATACACACTCACATATACACACACATACAAACATACGTACATACATACACACACATACATATACACACACACACGTACACACAACTCATGATAATATAAAATATCATTATTTATCAAATTTCAATCATCAATGGATAATCAAAAATATACAGTATATATATGAGACTAAACTTTCACAAAACACACACACACACACACACACACAATATCTTATTATTTGAACAGTATATATATATACAGAAGAAAACTAACTGAAAATTATAGACAAAAAAAACGACAAAAATTTTATAATAAATAGATTTATATATATATATATATATATAGTATATACAGTGTATATAATATTTGATGAAAATTTATAGATACTTTAGATGTCAACTATATATATATAAAGTATATATATATATATATATATTAYASTATAAGTAAAGCATATTATAATAACAATTTTCAGCTATAATAATAAAAAACTTATAAATATTACTTACCCTACGATTGATAGTATATGACAACCCTTTTATTATTATTTTTTTGTTGCTTTATATATATATATATATATATATATATATACATACCACTCCAGTAGCTAATAGGGTGTATATCCACTCACTCACACACTCACTATAATATACAATACTATRCAATARAGATAACAAAAAAAAACTGCATTTTATTTTTCACCAAATGATTTATAATAGTATTATATATATAAAAAATTTTGACACATATTTAAACTTATTGTTAAAAAAATAAATTATATAATTTGTTACCATTAAGTAGTAGTAGTAGTAATTGGCTATAAAAATATAACAAATAAGTTATTTTATTTATTATTATTATTATATTAAACTGTATWGAAATATACACAATATATRATCAATGATATGAAATCAATTCAATTWAATTTTCAATACAATATATATATATAAACTATTATAAAMTGTATATAATTGAGATTTTTTAAAATAAAAGTTTAAACTTAAAATAATATCTATAGAATTATTAGTTTATATATATATATATATATATATATATATATATATATTAATTGACTTAATATTAATTAATTATGAATTATGACTTTTATCTAATTTTATTTTATATTTTTTTGATAAATTTTTTGTTTTAATTGATATATGAAATAATCAATGTTATAATTTTATATTAATGTTTTTTTKTTGTTGAAAGTGTAATAAACTTGAAKTRTTATTAAAACATTAAATAAATATTATTYAAATATTTCACTTTTAAATAAACAAATTATTAAATTTGCATATATTATACAATATTATTGAATATTCATAACATTAATATTRTTTAAAAAYATTAATCTTTAATATTAGTTAATCCATAAAATGCTAATCAATTAAACATTTTTTTAKTAAACTTAATGCTAATTATTTAATTATTATTCATAAATATTTTAATAGTTTTTTTWWAAATTACTAATTAATATAATTTTGTTTACATTATTTAACATAAATTAGTAGAAAATTTATAAAAWTTTTACTAATTTACAACAAAATATTTGATTAAAAAAAATTATTCATTTTATTTAGTAGTTATTATAATCTCTAAAAAATTATTATAATAATGACTTATTATTTATAAATCTAAGTCTAATATATTGATTATTTATTTATTTATTTTTTGATAAATTATTTGTTTATTTAAAAAATGTTAATTATTTTATTATTACAATATATAGTGATAATACAATACAATATTATTATAAAATTAAAATTAAAATTATTTATTAACAACAATAATTGAAAAATACAAAATTTAAATTTTATTAACAATTARCAATATATTTGTACTTTTATATATATATATTTTTTAATTAAACATTTAATCAATAATAATAATAATATTGTAAACATAACTAATTAATAAATWTATTTTATTTATTTTGTATGAAATAATAATAGATTTATTTTTCACAATATTTTTCCCAAAAAAAAAATAAAATAAAAATATTTTCCAACAATTTTCTRAGCATTTTATATGCCATTACTGTTATATAATTGATTTGTTTGTTGTATTAAAAACATAAAATTTTTTATTTATTTATTTAKTTAGTTATCAATCGATATATTATTTATATATATAAATTCAATAGATATAAACTAGAAAATAAATACTACAATATTTTTAGTATATATATATACTAAAATAATAATAATAATAATAATACAAATTGATTGACAAACAAAAGTATTTTTTGAGGGATTTAAGTATATTTTTATAATCATATTATTATTATTATTATATTATTTTKTTTTCATATAAATACTGTATATACTATTAGTATATTATTTATATATATAAGTATTTAAATCTATATATATATATAATATTTATAGTAMTTTTCAGTAAAAGTATTAAACATATTATCATAAATTTTATATTGAATATACAAATATATATATATATACTGTATWAATGYCATACAATTTGTTTTACCAATTATTATTAAATATTAAATATTAAATATTATTATTATTATTATACAAAATAATATGCTATATTGTGTGTGTGTGTCTGTATTTATTAGATAATAAATTAGATTTAAATAAATCTAAAAATAAAATTTATATATAATATATATATACAAACTTGAAATTTATTTTTATTTAATAAAATAAATCTATTATATATATATCTGAATAWGAAATTTATATATATTTTTATCAATACATTAAAAAAATCCCATAAATTTTTTTGTTACTAAATAATACATTGATATACAGTATCTTTAAATATAATAWGAATATTCTGTATATATATATATATATATATATATATTAATATATAGATGTAATAAATATGTAATAAATATGACATTTAGTTTGGGATTTATATAACTATTAAATCGGTTTATTTTTTTGGCAAATAATAATAATAATAACACAAAAAATAGCAATAAAATCATAATCACAGATATATTGTATAAATACTTATAACAAATATAAATGATAATAAATATTTATATATATATATATATATATATATACTKTATAACAATTKATGAAATATTAGACAACAATTATTAAACATTATATTAAACATTGTTAATAAAATCAATAAATAAATAAATAATAATAAAAAAAGATAAAAACATATTTCATGTCATTATAATTATTATTAATATTATTATTAGTTGCTATTTATTTTATTTTATTTTATCTAGGATAATTTATTATTGCTTTATTAGCAAATAATAAATAATAATAATAATAATAATAAATTTCTCTCAATTTTATTAATAAAATTATATGATTTTCTAATAATTATTCACTGATTTATGATTTTATTATTATTATTTGATATATATATATATATATATACACTGTATATATAATATATATATATTATTAGATTATTGAGAGATTAATAAAATTTATTATTAGTTTTTTGGTATTCATTTAATAATACATATAAAGCAAATAATAATAATAATAATAAAATAATATAATAATGATTAATTAGATGATCATGATAAATTACTTATAAATGTTGTACTGTTGTAGATTAATATAATAATAATAATAATAATAATAATAATAATAATAATAATAATAATAATAATAACTGGTTTATTATATAGTGTGATCATTATGTCAATATATATATATATATATATATATATATATATTAATGGGTAGGATGACCAACTCACTGTCACTCTATCACAATTGACTGCCTGTAATCTATAATAGACTGAKGGGTGGGAAACGTTAGATTTTAGTAATTTTTATAATAATTTTAATAAACTAGTTATACATTCAATTTGTTTGGCAAAACTATATTAGAAATAGAAACAAATTAAACCAWAAAATAAAAYAAATAGTAAAAAAATATATAAAAATATTTGTAATAAAATTATATAAAAATATTTGTAATAAAATTATAATAGTATTACACACACACACACACACACACACACACACACACACACACACACATACACACACAWATACACAYATATACACACACATATACACACACATACACACACACATACACACACACACACACACATACACACACATACACACACAYATACACACACACATACACAYACACACATACACACACACAYACATACACACATACATACAMACATACACAYACATASAAAATAAAAACATAATTACTAAATMATAATAATAATAATATTGTCTGGGAAAGCCTAYTTACACTYATCAGWCACCCAAAACAGTTAACCATTAATTAAAAGCTATTAATAATAGCACAGTATTAGCCATTCCACCCCCACTCCCAGTAACTAGCATTGCCAACACCACCAAAACCAACTTAAATTATAGGATAATACAAAGTACTGCCGAATCGGACATCATCTGCTGGAGYGGTAACTGTGCATCTAATGGCAACAGTTCAGTGGTCAGGGCCTGCTGTCCGTTCAATCGCTTACGACATTGGCTACACTCGCACGGGTATTGTTTGGGCGGCGGATATATACGGTCGACAAACAACGGCTGGACGGGATTTGGTGGTCGTCTTTGCTGTCGTTGTTGTTGTTGGTGTTGACGACCGACACCGACACCGCTGATCCTGTCGTCAACTTCCATATACATGTGCTCTGCTATCACATCCCTGGCCTCATGATTACCGCCGCGCCGCCGCCGCCAATAGGTTGACAATAGGCAGCACTGGTAGTACCGCTAATACTACCGCCACTTAGGCTTCTCTGTCTATTGTTTGGCTGCTGATGACGAGGGCGACCCCGGCTATTATCAGCAGCACCGGTAGCCGCCATTGATATATCATTAGTAGTATTATTAGTAGTAGTAGTAATGGGATAATCATAATAGTAATTGCTATCAATTTGTTGTTGTTGTTGTTGATAATGATTACTATTACGGCTACCAGTGCTTCCRTAACTACCAGTTCCCGGAATTCTAGTACTACTAATACTATCTAAACAATCAGTACAATAGCATCGTTCAACAGTAGAGCTCCGGTAGTTTAATAAGTCATCAGTCATTGAATCCTTGTTTTTATTTTTTGTGTTTTTTGTTGATTTTTTTGATGAAAATAATCCCAATTTCTATAATAATTATATTTAAAAAAAATAATAATAAATATATTTAAAAAATAATAAATATATTTAAAAAATAATAAAATATATTTAAAAAATAATATACATATTTAAAAAATAATAAATATATTTTTTTAAAAATTAATAATTATTCAATAATTATTAATTAAATAAATAATTTTGTTTTAATTTTAAAATAAAAAATAATAATAATAAACAGTAATTATATTAGAAAAATGTTTTATAATAATTTAGAAAWTAATATAAAAAAATAATATTATTTTCCACAACAACAACAACAAAAAAATACTAAATACTTGAAAATAATAATAAATATTTTTCTATATAATAACATCAAAAGTTTTTAATTAATTTTTCTATAATAATAATAACAATAAGTTTATATAAAGTACTTAATCGTTAATTTAATGTATGGTATTATTATGATATTATTAATAATATAACTTATATAAGTAATAATAATAACTTAAAGTATTATTATTATTATTATGCAAATTGTTTGAAAGTTATAGCATTTATAATTATTTATTAAGTATTTTTGTTGAATAATTATAAATATATTTTTTGATGAAATTAAAATTAATATTTAAATTTAATATTATTTTCAATAATTTTAATAATAATAAATATATATAAAGTATATTAAATAGCATGGTATTTATTTAACAATTTAGTTTGGTTAATATCATTAATTTAATATTAAATTTACTTTTTTTTATATTAAATTATTTTCAATAATATATTTTTGTTAATATMTAATATAAAAAAATATACTTCAATGTAATTTAGTTTTATTTTTTTATTTATTTTTTTTTGAATAAAATATTATATATTTTTATTACATTTATTGACTAATCATAATAATAAATCATATTGATGATTTTTATTATTACTATTATTATTATGATGATGATTGAACAAATAAAATCTACAAATGTATATAATTTAACTTTTATTTAAAATAATTTTTTTTTAAAGTTATATTTTATTTTGTCTTTCAAAATAAAATTGAAATTATTTTTATTTTTCAATAAATGTAAAACAAGTCTACAATTTAGTCTACAATAATAATAATAACAGTAAAAGTATATTCAATTTTATTTTTGAATGTATTGTATCTATTATTATATACTATTACAATAGTATATATCAATCTATAGTATATAAAAATTTAGTAAAATTTATTAAATTAAACTAATTTATGTCTATAGCCTAATACAATTTAGACAGTAATAAAAATAATAATAATAATAAAAATTGCTATTGTTATAAATTTAATCATACTATTAACTAGGTCATAAATTTTTAGCAAATAAATAAAATTAGTTTATTTTAATCTTAATATAATTATTACTGTACTTTACTATTAATATATATAATAATAATAATAATAATAAATTTTAATTTCAATCTAAACTTCAATCCTATTATATAATATATAATTTTGTTTTTTTTTGTACAGTATTTTAGTAGAGATTTTTGTCTAATAAAAAATTTAATCGTATTATTAGTTTATTTTTTTGTTGTTGAAAATTACATATGATTTTTAATAATACATAAGTCATTATTGATTTTTTTGTTGTTAAAATTATATTAATATATACTGTAGTATATAATATATTTAATGTTTGTATAAATGATAAATGATAAAAATATGTATATATTATAATAAAATAGTTAACTTTATATATAACTGATAAATTATATCAAATTATATAATATTAAATATATATAAAATAGTTTTTTGAAACATAAAAAAAATTTAAGTCAATTAAAATTAAATAAAGTAATCAAACTTTCAATTTCATCAAAAAATAAAAACTATAATTTACAGTAGAGTATAAATTAGGTTTATTTCAAAATGTCATTTAAAACTTGATTGAAAAATAAAATTACTATCAATAGTATAAAATACAATACAAATAAATTAAATAAAAATTTACTAAAACTTTTTTTTAGTTAACTAATTAAATTTTTTATTGTTGTTATTTACTAAAAGCCATTAATATATATATATAATAGTAATAACAATAATAATTTGAAACAAAATTTATCGAAAATACTAAAATTAAAAAAATATTTATTTATTAAGTAATCAATATATAACTAAATATGACCTAGATAAAAATATAATTCAACAAAATATATTAATACAATTTCCTTTTAAAAATAAATTGTTAACAAACAATAGGAAATATAATATTATTTTATATATAAATATTTATTTATTAAATAAATAATTTGTAACAAAAATGTTTACAAACTTTTTTTGATGACGACTTTGATGATGACTGCACTGTCGTATTGTTTGTATTATCCATTAAATGTGAGTCAAACTGCATCCCTGACCATCAAAAAACAAAAATAAAAAACAAAAGTAAATAAATAACTAAAAAATATTTTTTAGTTATTACTAATAAATATGATATTTATTGAGTTGTAATTATAATTAAAATCTTATATTAGATTTTTTTGTTATTGTTGTTAAACTAAATAAATCAAAAATTAGCTGTTATTATGTTATTATATAAATTATATAATAAATATATGTATCATTAATTATTTTAGTTAATTTATTTCTAGCTAATCATAAAAACTATATATATATATATATATATATAGACAGTAATTACTTTTTAGCTAGATCATTATTATTATTATTATAAATGTTACTGGTTACAATACAATTTGTAATATGTTATTATGTAATAACTTATATAATATAATTTTAATTATGTAATTTGTTAATTTAGTTAATGAAAAAAATAACTACAAATTTTATTTTTAATTTAAAATTACATTTTTATTTTTTTAAATATATTAAATTTCTAGTATTTAACTCAATTTATAGTTTATTAGCCCAAAAAAAATTATTTATTATAATTTAAAAGTATAATAACTATTAGTATTATTAGTATAAATTTAAAAATTATATAAAATTTTATCTTATTTTAACTATTGTTTAAATAACAATTATTTTATTGTATAGTAGTAAATACAATAAAATAATTATTATAGTTATTAGTATAATAAATTGATTTAAATATAAAAATAATGAGTTTTTTTTTTAAAAAAATATTTAAAGCAAAAAAAACTAGTCATTAATTTAGATAATATTGATTATCGGAAAATTATTGCGCAAAATATATATTTATTTATTTGAATCAATAATATTGAAAATAAAATAAATATTAATTATATAAAATTGACTATTAATTTGTTTATAAATAAATTGTTTGTCAATATATCTAAAGTCCCAGTCCTTGAATTATACAAATTGTCAATAAATGTGATTAAATTAATATAAACTTTATATACAGTATATATATATTCATTAATAATAAAATTACTGTATATTAATGTATAGTATGTATAGTATTTTTATATAGTATTTCAAAATTCAAATTAATGTACAAATATTGAATTTTTTGCCAAAATTTAATTATTTTTTATTTAAAAAAAATTATATTCAATTATACTATTATAATAATAATACAGAATATTCTGTATATGTTTGCACTTTATATTTGAATAATAAATAATTTTTTTTTTAAAAATTATGAGTAGAAATATTTAAATTATTTTTTCACATGTTAAAAATTGCGAAATATTATTATAATATTTTTTTTAATACTCAGACATGACTGTATATATATAATAATTTATTTCAGCAAAAAAAAAACATTAATATGTTTTTTTTACATTTAAATCAATTGGGTTAAGCAATACATAAGTATTTATATATTTTTTGCTACTAAATAATATATAAAATAATAATAATAATAAAACTTGTAATTTACTTATAAAAAATAAAATAAAAAATTGCTTACAAAACACACACATATACTGTAGATTTTTAGACGTAAAAACTAAACGCAATATTATTTTTTTGTTTTTTATTTTGTTTTTTTTTGATTATTATTTTTGTGGATTTTTATCGTTGAACACAACATCTGCACGAATTTTATAATAGATTTTAGTTTTATTTATTTTTTATATTTTTTATATTTTTTGATAAAGTTTTTTAAAAAGTATTAGATATATATAATATATACTAATAATATATTAGTATAATATATATATATTGGTTTTTATTGATGTAAATGTATATATACTGTATGTATGTATGTGTGTTGTATAAAATAATTAAATTTTTATAAATATAGATAATATACTTATATATGTAAATTGAATTAATTATATTATATTTATTATATAATATAATTATTATAATAATAAAAAGTTTTATATATATAGTTAATACAAATATATTTATTTAATAATTATTTGACTAATAATTTGTTTGACTCATCTGTTAATTGAGATAATTATAATTACAATTAAATTATTCAAATTTATTATTATTATTATTTTCAATTTGTTTTATTATTGTTACATAAATTAATAACAATATTTCTTTTATTGTTATAAATATTATATTATAAAAATAATATATTTCTATACTAAATTAGATTACCAAATAATAATAATAATAATTAATTTGAATAATTAAATTGTAATTTTAATATACTATAAGTTTTTTACATTTTTAATTCATGTGTTATTATTGTTAGGTTTAATAATAATATTATTACTGTATTTAATAAATACGTGTTTTTAAATTAATTTAATTAATTATATATTTATTACACACATATATATATAACTACTTAATACAATAATTCTAAAAAAACATTAATTTTAAAAAATTTAATTTAAATAATTTCATTAAATTTCAATAAAATATAAGATTTTTATAGAAAATATTTTTACTAATAGATTACTAATTTATATAATATTTTTAAAGATTTTATAGTATAGTATGTTATAATAATAATAAAAAAAAATAAAAACTAAATTATCACAAAAAATCCTAAAAAAAACTATTTCAAAAAAACTGTGTTATAATGAGTTGCAATAAATCAAACAAAAAATATAATCACAAAAATTTTATTGTTAACGAAAAAAAATATTTTATTTTTTTCAATTTAATATTATTTTATTTTCTTGAAAATAGTTAAACATATTAAGTTCAAAACAAAACAAAATCAATGCAATGTTTAGACATAGTGTTAGACATTAATAAATAAAAAAAATTTTATATTATATAATTCATATATATATATATATAGAAAATAAATTTACCGAAAGTTTTTTGTTGTATTTTTTTATTGTTTTATTTGTCTCACAATTTGATGACACAAATAGCGATCCAGACATACGTCGGGGAATACATTAACACTTATATATACAGTATATATATATATATATATATAATTGTTGTCTATATATACATGTTATACTGTATATCAATATTAATATAAATCATATATATATTTATAGTTGTCTTATATATATAAACTTAGATTTGACTACAAATACTGTTATATATATATCAATGTAGACACTGAAACACATTACAGTTGTATCACTCAATTAATGTCTATAAAAAAACAGTATAACACTAGTAATAGTGACTAAAAAAATAAAACTTTTTATTTTATTTTCAACTGTTTTGTTTGACACATCCATTTCCCCTTTTAATATATATAGACTACTAGAGTCACACACACACACAATCACTTTCACCACTATTTTTTAGAGGAGATAATAGTATTATTTTGGTTTTCGACTACTAATACTACCAGTGCTGAGGACTGGCCGCACATTAAATGGATAGACAGACACATGTGATGATGAAAGTCGTGAGAGAGAGAGAGAGACTAAAAAAAAAAAATTTTTTTTTGTGAGATTCAGTCTCAATAATAGATGGGAAGTCTGGATGATGTGTGTGTGTGTTAGTACAGTATTAGGGTTAAGCACATACATGAGCCCAAAGAGTGAGTGAGTGAGTGAGTGAGTGAGTGAGTGAGTGAGTGAGTGAGTGAGTGAGTGAGGAGAGAGAGAGAGTGAGTGAGTGAGTGAGAGAGAGAGAGAGAGAGAGAATAGAGAGAGAGAGAGAGAGAGATTTTGCTATCGATTTTCTTTACAAATATATATACAGAGAGAGAGAGAGAGAGAGAGAGAGAGAGAGAGAGAGAGAGAGAGAGAGAGAGAGAGAGAGAGAGAGAGAGAGAGAGAGAGAGAGAGAGAGAGAGAGAGAGAGAGAGTGAGAGAGAGAGAGAGAGAGAGTCAGTGCATGCGTTCACAAAATAAAATATATTAATACAGAATATTCTTGTTATTATTATTATTATTATTATTATTACAATATTACTAATGTATTTCTATGTAAAATATTTTATTATTATTATTCTAACTATATATTAATAAACAAAACAAAAAAAAATGTTTTTTCTTGTATTTTGTTTAGTTTATATAATAAAATATTTATTTAATATATACATATATATATATATATATATACATAGATTATATAACACTAATTTATTTTGTCATTATTTTAGTTAGTTTTATGTTTTTTATTTAGTTTTTTTTAATGTTTTTTTTCATCATACAAAATGTTTCAACATAAAACATATTGTATTTATTCAATTAAAAACAACAACAGCAACAAAAAATTGTAATAATAAATGTAAAAAACATATCCTGTTTTTTCAGGATATTTGTCTTAAACTACTGTATATATACTTAAATTAAATCATTTATTTACAACAACAACAACAAAAAAAACATTTTTATAAAATATTATGTTTTTTACTAATGAAACATAAAATTTTAGGAAATTATTTTCATTAGTATTTAGATAAAATGTTTATAAAACAAACAAATATATATATATATATATATCAAAATTAAAATATTTATTTATTTTTGTAAAAAATTTTAGTCAAAACTAATTAGTTAATGTTTTAATTTTTTTTAAACTATTAATTATTTAATATTATAGTTTATAAACTTAATAATTAATAATATAAGCAATTGATTCAAATGATGTGTATAATTGAAATGTTAATCAAAAAATAATTTTATAGATTTTTTTATTTGATTAAATAATATTTATATTATTCAATATTTGTATATTTTATTTATTTATTTTTTAAATAAAATAATGTAAATAATCTTTTTTGTTGTTATGTTAATATTTAAAATATTAAATAATAATATTAAAATATATTTTTTTTATTTTATTTTTATATATATTTATTATTAAATATCAAATATTATTTTTTTAGTAGTTTTTTTTTCTTGAATTTAATTTCAATACAAATATWTGACAATTTATTTTATTATTATTGTTTAGTTTTTTTGTATTTAATGTAACAGTAATGTAATAAAAATATTTAATATATATAATAGTATTATTATTTTATAATATATATATAGTATTTTAAATACATTTGTGTAGGTGTGATAACATAATAATAATTATTATTATTATGA